CCCCGTGTCCTGCATACTAACCACCTCACAGCTTTCTCTATGACCAGCTGGTCACACCTGCAAACCTCCCTTTCTCTGCGCCTCCGCCCCGAATAGTTTTAACTGCCTTAGTCCCTGTGTTTTCAGGCATTCAGCAAGTTTTAGCCTCCCTTCCCTTTCATTCACCAGATAAAAATCTAAACTCCTAAGTTAATTCTCAAGGCTGAAAAGCCTCCTTCCTTATTAGCAAACAGACCATTCCAGCCTGATGACATTCCAGGCTAATTACAGAAGATGCTTCCTGCATCCCTTATCTCGCCACAATTGTGTGTCTTCTGACCGGGAAAACCCATTCCTTCCCACTGACCTTTCTAACTTTGTTTATTCTTCTAACTTGTGTAAACCTGGCTTGCAGCTGAGCCACTCTCTCCCCCTGTCTTTGCATTCACCTCCTGGTTCTTACCCTCATACTGCCTGAGGTTGAAATGAGATGTTTCGGCAGATATGCCTCGTCTGCCCAGTGGTCCTGAGCCAGGGGGGGTATGGTCTTATGTTATGAGTTAATTCTTGCTGCAGCTGTGGTGTTCGATAGGTAATAGCCTTTATTTTTAACCATAAACGTAGAAGCAACATGGAGTCACTTGTGCCAACTAATCAATTTACCCCGATACGCTGGAGCTTTGGGAAGGGGCCATAAAGGAACCTCATTTGGCCACTGGAAGAAGAGTTGAGTCCAGGCTTCTTCAAAGCCATGTGCTTCTCTTTTGCTCTTTGGCACCCCTTCTTGCCAGTTTTATGTGAGAAATATTTTAGTGGCCAAGAGGAATATGCGCCCCTACCCCCCCCACACACTTTATTGCACCCAGTTGTCCCCACTTGTGCCAAGTAAAACCTGCGCACTGTTACTTACTTGGGATTGTGTAATACTGACCTGATGCCCTCTTAACAAGAATCACTGGCCTTCTCTGCTAGACTCCATGCTCAGTTCACCAGCCACTTGACTGTTGACACTGCTTAGAGTCCACCAGGTTCCGTAAGGATCAGTTGCTCACCGTAGCAGGCATCACTCTCAGCCTTTCATGTGAGCAGATGGCGCCAAGGCTGGAGCTGCTGCTCCCAGGGCAACAGTCTCTAGGATCTGTCAGCTTTTTGGCATGCTTCTTCCAAGGAATGGTTTCCATGCCCCTGAGATGAGCTGTCTATCTCATACCATGGGTGTGTAGTCATCATTTGAACTCATTTCTGTATGCAGCTTGGCTGGAGTTTACTAATACTCTCCAAAGGAGTAGTGACGTTGCTGGTACCTCCGTTCTTGTAAACAATATAACTCAGGATTCTGTGAATAACTTTCTCTCTCTAGACCTTTGGATTTGAAATTAAATACTCTAAGTGTGCCCTACGCTGGCATCCGTTAATACATCTGTCTGGATGAGACCCTGTTTTCAGAACTACTTTCACAACCTGTGAAACAAAGTGTCTGTTTTACCCTATAACCATGTGTGGATGGAACCAGTGGCTCTTTGTTCCCCTTGGTTACCTTTGCAACGTCTGTCACTCATTTCATTCTCCACTCCACAGTAGCTTCCGAACTTGAACTGATAGAGGCTGTATATAAAGGGGACTTACCTGACATAAACACACTTGCCTCCAGAGCACTCTAGCGTCTGTAAGTAGTTTATGTGTTTGAGAAGGTGGATGTCCTAATGCTTCGGCTGATCTAAAGAGCCTCCATCACACTACTGTCATCCTGAAGTACCCACAGTTAGTAAGGGGATTAGAGATAAGCAGCAGCTTTCGAGAATGGATCACTGACAAATAACGTAAAGAAGGGTCTGGAGAGATGGCTCAGCAGTTAAGAACACTTGCTGCTCTTGCAGAAGACCCAAGTTTGATTCTCAGAATCCATGTGAAATGGCTCACCTGTAATTACAGGTCCAGAGGGTCCAGTGCCGCCTTCTGGCCTCTAAGGGCACCTGCACTTATCTGCACACACCCAAACATACGCACACACATAATTTAAAATAATGAAGTATGAAAATACAAGCTAACTACAAAAACAAAGTTTATAAAAATAGACACTAAGCAGGCAGTTAAATAAACAGCAGATTGAAAATAACAAATGGTTTTCTGTAAAAAATGATGTTTCTAGAATGAATTAAAAATCTGATAGTAAAGTGAGCGTGCTAAGTGGTATAAACCGAATATGTGCATAATTTTATATATACATTTATCAAAATATACAAATGCTTGCAAGGGTAATTTTGGAGGTAGGGGAAGAAGCAATTTGTATTTATTTACATAGTTCTATGGTTTTCAAGTGTTTTGCAATGTGCAAGAACTTGTTCTACTAAGAAAAAGGAAGAATGCTTTCTGTATGTAGTTGATCGATTTGCCAACGTCCCTGAAGGAGTGAGTCAGACTTTTCAGTGTCTGTAACCAGCACAGTGGGCAATAGGATTAGGAGTCACTCACCTGTGCTGTGCTGCCTTTTGTGAAGCTACACAGAAAGGCCACAAGGGTCAGGCAGGGGAGTGCTGTGGCACTTAGGTCTCCAACAGCCCAGACCAGGTAGGGCTCTATTTCCTCACCAGCTATTATTTAGATCTCTCTCCTCTCTTCCTTCTGTAGTTGGCTGTGATACTTAACACTGAGTCACCTTACACACAGCCTGACAGAACAGCCAGTACTTAACTTATTATCATCAATAAAGTGGCTTAGAGTTTATGAGGCCATGTGCTTATCTGGCTTTGCAGCCAGCCATAACTTTCTCACACATATAGTCAGTGTCTGTGAGGTTCTCCTTTATCTGTGCTCAAGCTACAGACCCAACTGAGTATCCTTCCAACTCTTCACCTTTCACACTCAGTTCAACCATCACTCTCTTCTTTGAGGTAGTTCCCTATACATGATAATTGTGCCCCACCCCCCCCCCCGCAACCCTTATTAGAACACTGATGAAATCCTGGGTTCAGGAATGAGAGGGTGAACCAACACCAACTGTGTCTCTGACTCTTTCATCCCTTGGGCCCAGAAACACAAAAGATAATCTTTGCTAAATAAGTAAATGAGCCATGGTAAAGACTGCAATCCAATAGTGCCAAAGGAGCTCTCCTTCTATATGTCTGCAGACATTTTAGGCATTTGTTTCTGGACTACTCTGTTATCAACAAGTAACAGGGAAATACAGATCCCTGTCATAGTATTGAGTCTACAATGTTCAATCTCAGAGAATGCAGTAAAAGGTTTTAGCAGATAATTTGAGCATATTAACAATATCAACATTGTTGCTAAGGATGTTAAATGATATATGCCATTATATAACAACTTTAAAAGCTCTCTCAGACTGGAAGCTCCCATTATTACCTACAAGTCTTTGAAATCTAGCTTCCGTGACCAATTTTCCTCTTCTCATGGACTTCCCTCAAATTCTTTTCCTCAGAACTGTAGTTGCAAATGACACTTCTGCCTCTAGATTATTGTGTGAGAGAAAAACCTGTTTTCTTGCAAAGAAAACAGAAGTTTGTTCTCAGAGGACGATTTTGCTGCTGCTTAAATATTCTTTCAAATGCTTCTGAGCAGAGGTCTATCCCAGCCACCAGGGAAAGAGGTAGCCTGTTTCCAGGACACTGGTCTAATCAGGTGTCCCAGACAATCCTGGCTGAACTTGCTTTGTTGCTGGACAGTTTAAACAACCGCAGACGCACACACAGCAATCTTAGATGCTCACTTACAGTGTCTCCCACATGGAACACTCACGCAAGAGAAAAGTCGCTTCATCTGTGAGCAAAATTATCTTTAGGAAAAAAAAAATATATATATATATATATATGTATGTATATACACACACTACCACCTAAGAAAAACTTCTCTACCCATAAATATAAGCTTCGTAAACTGTCAGCATTGGCAATCCACAAATGACACAAAGCAAAAGCACTACTTTCATCTGATAGACTAGGATCAGAAGGAAGGAGAGGAAGACCTCCCCTATCAGTGGACTTGGGGAGGGGCATTGGTGGAGAAGGGGGAGGGAAGGTGGGATTGGGAGGGGAGGAGGGAGGGGCTTATGGGAGGATACAAAGTGAATAAAGTGTAATTAATAAAATTTTTTTTTAAAAAGCACTGCTTTCTTTTCAGTGACTTTTATTTAAAGTTTGGAATTGTCACTTGAGGCACGGTGGAGTTGTAATTGGAAGAAATGGATTCTACACTCACACCATTGTTTTTGGGGTGGCGGGGGTATGTTTGAATTTGTGTTTTAAGTAGATGTGATGTGAAGCTGGCAATTTCTATAGTCCTGGAATGGAGGCGAGCACAGCAGTGCCTCTCTGAAGGATACGGGAGGGTTTCTCCTGGTCAGGGCTCCATCCTTACCATATGCCTGCCCTCTCTGCAGCATGCTATGCCCTTCTGGAGAGTCTCCAGTCACTCAGACCTCATGGCGCTGCATCATGCCTTGGAACTAGAGTACCTGTAACAGCCTCGTGCCAATTTGACACTGCACAGCTGCCCTATGGCCAGAGACAACCCAGCAGGCTTCAGCCTGCGTCACTGCTGGACTCCAGAATGTACCAATTTCAATATGTGGATACATGGCTGCTGCAGTCTTGACTGCTACCCTCTGGGAAAATGGAGGGCTGTGTGTGTTTCCTCAGAACAGCTGTCGACTCCGGTACTGTGAATGCAGTGAAAAGAAGCCATGAGAATGTCCTAGCACAGTGTCATGTGTCTTGGCTACATTAACTACATGGTTCAAACCTGTGAAGAAAAGACCTACAGACACTTTGGTTTCAGCAAATGTGACATAAACAGCATGGGCAACCCAGCAAACTTGATTCCACAAAAAAAGAAAAAAAAAAAAAAAGACTGAAATGTGTCTTCTGGACAAGCGTGAGGGTGTTTTCTCGAAGGTTTACTTTTCGCTGTCTCCTACCCAGGGCAATCTATACATCACTACTTATTTATGAAAAGACATTAAAAAAAAAAAACAGATTTGCTGAGGTAATAATTCACATACCATATAACTCACCAAGACAGACTTCTTGGCCTCAAATCGTTTGAAGGAACTATAAGAAATAAGCATAAGAAATAATCAACTAAAGGCCTTGGCCTGACCATAGGCAAGTACTTTGAATTGTAGCACATTGCAAAGTAGTTTAAAGTATGTCTAATTTAAACATGTAAAATGTACATCCTTGAGACAATCGTGTACAGAAAGAATTTTTTGGTGTAAATTTGTAATAATGGATGATTCTTTTACATTCTGTTTAGGGAAATGCTATTATGAGGTAGAAATGCCTTCCTAGGAAGCTCAGGCACGAACTCCTGCAGTGCCTTATCTAAGTATTGGGTATAAATATTGTAGATAATGGATCTTTTTGATAATGTCATCGAAGACCAAAAGCATGAATGTCAAGTGTCAACAAGGATTTTATTTTCTCAATCTTTTATCCCATCAATTTTTCTAATTCTTTTTGGGTGTGTGGATGTGTGTTGGTTAGAAGGGCCTTGCTAAAAATAATAGCAGTTTCACAACTGAAAAAGTTTAGAAGTCTTCCTAGCCTCCTCCTGACTTTCTCATTTCAACAATAATGTATTATATGTAACTACTTGGAAAAGAATGATTATTCGAATGCTTCATCCCACAGAAAGAATAGAGATGATAGATATATTTTATTAATAAAATTAACTGGAGCCTAGCAGAGTTTCCATGTGCTCAGAATGATTATTGTGTCTGGGTTTCTTGTTTATGTCAACAAGGACTTTGCCACATACCTGGGTCAGCATCACTTCTCATTACTCCTTCCACTCTTAGTCTTTCCATCTTCATCCAGAGAAGGTTCATTTCCCACAGTGGGTATGTCTGACCATCATCAGAAACATCGACGCTGCTTTCTACTTATGACAGGACAAACATAAACCAGGAGTGGGGGAGGGGAAACACAAATGAGGTTTCTCGTGTTATAAGAAAGATTTTTCCAAAATAATGCATTTGTATAGTCAGGAGTCTTTCTCACCTTGGGTTTTGTATTGCCATGATATTGCCCTTTGGATCAATTTTATTTAATATTATTAATAAGTTATTAATAATATTATTTAATATTGGGGGCACCAGGTTTGACCCAGAGTGGCAGAAAAACCACTCTACCTTTTGCTTTTCTAAAAGTCCATGTTGCTGCTAAAATTAGTCATTGTGAACTCTCCAAATGGTTAAAATAAATAATGAAATTTGTTTCCCGTCTAACCTGACGTAGACAGAAATGGACAGTTTTTAAGCCTCTTCATTTGATGTTTTTGTACTCCGCAGACTTAAAAGCCTTGAGCTTGGCCTTACTGTAAAAAGGCGTGTTGTGTCCACCACAATTGTGTACAGGTTTTTTTCTTCATTAATTTTTGTGTTTAACTTAATAAACTTGATTTGTGCAGTACTGTATACTCTGTGAATGTCAGTATTATCTTTCTTGTTTTGGTTGTGTGGAGGAGCTGAATCTTGTTTGCATTAGAACCCTGCAGCCAAAGGAAGTCATTCGGACAACCCGGTGATGGCTTTATCAGTCCTTTAGGAGCTGAACTGGAAGGCAACAGCTGTTTCTTTGATCATCGTAGGACTGGAGAATGGAAAAGCTCTTTATTTCCCAGACTCCATCAACTGGATCCTTACCTAAATTTATCTATGATAGAATAGAAGTAGGCATAAATTATCTTGGATTGCAGAACATAGATCTATCCACTTAAATACCCAAGAGACAGCAATATGAGGCCGTTTCATCAAAAAAGAACATTCGCAACGTACAACTCTGTGATTTGCCAGATTAATCACTGACAGGGGGCTATAAAACCATACAGCTAACTTTCTCTTGAGAGCCTAATCCGAGAAACACAACGTTCAGACATACAAATACATGACAACCAAACACACAGTTGTCTGACCAGCCTTGTGGTGTGGGTTTTCACGAACACTGCGCCATTTCACTTGACTAACTAGGTGTCTCTTCTGAAAGTGATGAGAGCCGAGGGGGAAAATCTCTGAAGATGTAGAGGTGGGAAATGACGAGATTATCAGGTCTCAGGTGAAGGAAGTATGAAAAATAAATGAAACAGGAGTTGTGCTCTCAGAAGATGAAATCTCCGCCACCTCTAACATGGAACCCCCAGTCTAACCATTTTAAGGACTCTCCTCTGACCAGTAGCTGAAGCTTGGGTTTCTAGTATTCCATAGCCTCTAAATACAGCCTATGCTGTATTTAGAGTTACCTCTCATTGCTGTAATGAATGAGACTTCAGTACCCCTGCTCAGTACATAGACCAGGAATCCCATTTCATGTTTGCTCAGAACATTGTAGCACTCTAGCCTCGGTCCAGCCACACCACAGCCAGCTGCGGCCCCTTATCCTTGGCAAAGCTCTTTGCCCTAATGTCACAAAGTTCTGGCTCCTTCTCTTGAATGGCTTTCCCCACCTACCTCTGCCTGTAGGGGCAGTCCACATTCTATCCCATAGACTTGCCATCCTCATGTGGCACTTCCCTACGTAGGTGAAGTGAGGGTGAGATGAGCTTAAGCCAATAACTGAACTCCGCATAAAGTTTGTAGAAACAGAGTGGACAGATTACTGAGGGGCTGAATACGATACACTCTGATTTAAAAGGCTCCTTATGGAAACCAAGTTTATGGATATCATTCTAAGTGAAAGAGGAGTCTCTCAAGGGCAGATACAGGGATGTCACTGGGTCTGATTTATTCTTGCAGTGATCATCCTGGCTGCTAAGTAAACAATTGGCTGTTGTGGAGGAAGAGAAGATGTGGAAAGGCCCATGGGCAATGGTCTGATTAGGATGAGGATGGTGGAAATCTGAAATCTGGGTTTGTTTGTTGATATAGCAATGGTCAGAGTGAGTAAGATGGTCCACTGAGGTACAGTGGAATGTGGGTACATATGAAGTAAAGGGGCATTGTCCATCTATACAATTGTGAAACATTCTAGGGGTTTGTAACCTTGATTCTGTGGGCAGACTGCCTGCAATGCTAGTATAACTAATCCACATTTAACTGTATTCTTGGTTGCCTAAAATGGGAATAACAATGAGCTATTTCAAGAATAATAAAGAAACACTAAGCTAATATTTATGAAGTGTTGGACCACTGCCTAGGAGATTTTCTAATGTTACTTTCTGTTAGACAATGTTTCTATACACATTTTTTTTTCGGCCCACATGAAGAAACAACTTCTTCAATACAGTAATACCCTATAGACATGTCCTGCATTGCTGGGGTTAGGCCTAAAAACCAAGCTGAAAAACGGGTAAGCCTTTGTCTAGTGGATGTAGAGAACTCACTAACACTCTTCAAAGGTCTCTGTGAGCAGTGTTGATGGAAGCCAGCAGTGGGCTAGCACAGGCTCCTGTAGACTCAAAGCATCGAGCTAGCCTGAGCAAAACCTGGCACAGAGGCGAGACTGACAGCAATCTAGATCAGAAGAGGGCTACAGCAGGCTAAATTGGAAAAGAGGTACAGTTAGCTAATAGAGCAGGAGCAAAGCCCTAGAACCGGAAGCCTGAGGCTTAAAGGATTGCTGAGTGTCCAGGAGACAGAAGAGGACAGGGTGAAATTGAGGGATGGGACTTTGTGCCTTTTTATTTCTTTTTAAACCTTAGTGTCTCAACCCCAGGTCTCAACTCATTTGCTTTAAAAAATTTTTTCTTCCAGTCAACATTTACAAATGTAAGGTAAGCAGACACGGTTCCCAGTAACGTTTTACATTTGTTTTTCAAAACATTTGCATGTGACATGGATGTTTCTCAATTCAGATGACTATAAAGGAGGCCATTTGCTTAACAGAACCTGGAGATGAGAGAGCCTGCTGGTCCAACTTAAGATGCAGAAGAAATTTCCCTGCAGACACTGTTAGCTTCAGCTGCAACAGTGTAGCCTAGCCACATGCGATGATGTCGTTTTCTGTCTCCCAGTACAATGCATTCCTAAGAGCACATCTTTCTTTCAGTGTCTCCCTGAGCGTTTCCATGCCCCTCCATTCTGTGCGATTATACAAACTGACAGGATGACTTGTGGCAGAAGAAATGAAAGGGTTTGTAATTTAGGAAACCTCTGGCCCCCGCTGACTGAAAGCAGGTTGTTTGTAAAAAGGAAATCCTGACCTCAGCTCACTGGCAAACTCTGTCAGAAGCAATAGAGGAAGGCGGAGAAGAAAGAACAGTACTGGGATTTTTATTGGCAACAGAAGAGAAATGGATGCTCTACCAAAAGGAGGAGAGTGCCCTGTTGGAAGACTAAGACAACCCCAACCCCTGAATGTGGCTACTCAATGGTGGGATCTGCTACAAGATCACGGCATAGTTGTATCTGTGAGCCTACTACTTACTGCTTGGGACAACAGCTACTACATCAACCGCCCAGAAGATGAGTTCCCGCCAGGTTGCTGAGGTGGGAGTCCTGTGCTATGGGCAAGGCATGGCCTACCCTGTATTTAGCACAGCTTGACCCAAAGCACCAAGACTCCAGACATGGACGATGTAAATCAGGTGTTGCATTAGTTAACTTCTCTCATTGTCTTGACAAAACACCTGACCAAAGCTACTTAAGGAAGGAAGGTTTTGTTTGGGGGTGCAGTTTGCACCTACAGGCAATCACAACAGGTAAGTCATGGTGGCAGAGGCATAGAGGCAGCTGGTGAACAGAACGTGATGGTGTTCACAGCAGGGAGCAGAGCAAGAGAAAGACTGATGCTCAACTTGCTATCTCCTTTTTCCTTTAGTGGAGGACCTGACCTAGGGAAATCTAAATGTCCTGCCTACACTTAAGGTGGATCTCTCCGCTTCAGTTTACCCAGTCTAGAAATACCCTCACAGACAAGCCCAGAGTTTTGAGTCCTAGGTGATCAGAGATAGCACTGTGCTGTGCTGCCTTTCTACACCTGGTCCTTGTCTTCTGCCTTGCCTCCACCTTCATGCCATCTGCCTGGCCACTGCACCCTGACCATTGAGCAACGCAACAAAGAACAAAGACCTCTGAGCATTGAGTTCTGGTCCCCAGAGATGCTCATTTGGCTACCTCTTGAGTGCTTTGATGAATGCCTGATTGAGCCCTGCCCATTATGCTAATTTCACCCATCCTGGTTGGGTTTGAACTTCCACCATTTAACAGCCGCTAGGGATGAATGCTATTGTTACCGGCCTGCAGGGCAGGCCAGTGTGTGAAGTGTACTTTCTAGCACTTTACCATTCCTTTCCAAGACATTCTACACAGCTTCTGAAGCTCTAATGATCCAACTCAACTTCCCCCCCAAGTCTGAAGGAGTTTCTCAGAGGCAGTGTTTCCCAACCTTCCTAATGCTGCAGCCCTTGACAGAGCTCCTCATGTTGTGGTGATCCCCCCCAAAATAAAATTATTTTTTTGTTGCTGCTCATAACTAACTTTGATACCGTTATGAATCATAATGTGTATCTTTGTGTTTTCCAATGGTCTTATACAACCCTTGTGAAAGGGTCATCCGATCCCCAAAGGGGTCATAGCCCAGCAGTTGAGAACTGCCGCTTTCAGGGGTCCTGTGCCCACGGTGTCTTCAGAGGTAGGTGCCTATCATAGGAATAATTGCAGTAAGTGGCAGCCTGTGGTGGGGACCGCTCTGGATTTCAAGGAGGTGGGTAAAATTTACAAAGAACTGTAATGTCTGATGGAAATCCTTAGAACACAGCAATGAATGTGCCTGAGAGAACCGAGTCCCAAAGATGAGGTTGTTTGCTCATTGTCCTATATGAAAGAAACAAAACAAAACAACAACAACAACCAAAACCAGAAGCTGACAGGTCCCCACGCCAATACCCACACCTCCCAGAGGCCCCTCAGTGAATGGCCACAGCTCAGCCTGAGCCTCACTGGAAAGGCATTCTTTGAGGTCACCATCTTGCAATCCTCTCTTTAGATTTTTACTACCATGTGCCTGTTTCCCACACATTTCCCATTAGTCTGCTGCCGTCTCCACATCCATGTCACTCATGTCCTTCCAGAGCTCTTGCATGACCCTC